CGGAGGAGCTGGCAGCAGGGCGGACCGGAGGAGGCGAGACAGGGGCTCAGCGCTGGGAAGGATGCCTACAAGCCATGAGCTGCCATTTTGTCTCTTTTAAGAGTGTTGGCTTTCCCCTCTCCCGGAGCGCAGTGCGCGGCGGTGGCAGCATCTCTCCTTGCCCTGCCCCTCCTCGGCCGTCCTGCAGGGAGGCAGCTCGGGGCGGCACGGGAGGTCCCCTCGGGAAAGCGCGCATCAACCCCAGCCTTCCCAGCCCCGGCGCTCTCCCTGCCACCTCCGCCCTAGGTGCTCGGGGTTTGCAGGCTGTTCAGCTGATTTGTTGCTAATAGCAACCACACGACAGCGATTTGCAGCCTTTGCTGCTGCCAGCGCCTCTCGTTACACCTTCTCTGCAAACCGGGATACGGTCGTCTGGCTGCTGCCTGTCCCCACCCCTCTAACCACAGCATCCAGGGACAATAACGGTGCAGGAGGACGGGACGGCCTCGGGGCGCGCTGCGGGCTCCGCTGGGCACCGCGCAGATTTGGTCCTTCCACATCAAGAGCTAAATACTGGCTTTCAGCCGCAGCCGCGCAGGCTCCGCGCATTTCGCATTGTGTGGTAGCTTTGTTGAGAGCTGCAATCCGACCGGCGCGGGGCGGGGGGAGAAACGCTGCTGGGTTTACATATGTAGATGCGGGTAGCGTTCAGCGCCAAGCCAACACACACCCTCCCCCGGAGCATCAGACACAAAGGAAGACCTCGGTCCTTTCAAGTCCCCAGAATAAATTAAGCTCCGGCTTTCAGTTTTGGAACGTCCCAAAAATATTTTTTTTTTTAATGGCACTGCACAGGCGCTGACGGTTCCGCAGGAAACCAGAGGTGTAACCATATGCGCGTGGTGAAAAGGGTTCAGCCCTACCAGCTAATATTTCCTGGTCCCATCCTGAAAGTCAACCTGACATGTTTTGCCATTTTCCGGTTTATTTATCTCTTAAAATTTTTATTCAGCCGTCCCGATTGTAATGGTGATGCGCCAATCTCCACTAGCCAAATCGGTACCGTTTACACGATTACAGTTGTTATAAATATCTGTTCAAATGCCAGCGTCGTCCTCTTGGGTGAAGAAAAAAGAGAAGTCCTCTTTCTAGAGCGTCTGAAGTGCCTCGACGTTTCTGGCTTCGCCTTACAGAAATAATTTACACTATAGGAAGGTCTTACAGACTAAACTCGCCACCGAAAATCCGGAGAAGGGATGCTAGAATGACGTGAGTCCCTGCAGCCCCGAGCCAAAGCTCAGGGAGAAAAAAAAGAGAGAACTCTCCATTTCTATAGTCTCTCTGACAGAGTTTTTGCTAAAATCAGGTAATGGCACAGCCCAACTTTAATTTGAAAAATAAACCATTCAAGGATCCAAATTAATTTTAGTAGAGGCTATACGTGGAGTTGGAGATTCTTCACTCAGTGTACTCTTTTGGAGAGAGCACTTCAGTTGCCTACATCCCATTCACTCCCTCTAACCTTTCCACGTTCAAACTCCTGGCTTTAAAAAAACCCAGCACGTCCAACTCCAATCTGTGGGAGAGTTTGTGCATTGCTCTTCCCACCAAATGAGCTGAGTTGTGCAAATATGGGATGTAAAGCCCCAATTTCTGTAACCCTATGAATATCTCCTCAACGCCTTGAACAATTTGCCAGGCGTGTGGCAGGAGGAGCAGACCCTCCAGAGGCAAGATGGGGCGACCCAGCGCCCCGCCGACGGGAGCGGGGGACGGCCGGAGGCGGTCCGGCTCCAGCCCGGGTGACCCGCAGCCCCGGCGGGCTGTCCCGGGGGCCTCCCGAACCGCCGGGGAAGCCGCCGCACCAAGGCACGGGAAGACCTCACCTCCGAATGGGCGTCGTGCAGTTTTGAGCCGCAGCACAACATCCGCGGCTTGGCCAGCCGGGACACAGCTGGGCATGAGCCGTCGAGGGGCGGCGAGCCCGATCCCGGACCGGCCACCCAGCGCCCTTCCAGCCCGGAGTCCTGCGTGGGGCCCCCGGCAGCGCCCGGAGCTGAGTCACCTGTTGCCTCGCACCCGCGGGGACGAGACCGAGCCGGGAAAATCCACGCCCTCGGCACGCCTCACCCTCCAAAAAATCCCAGGAGCAACTTCGCCCTTCCCCGTCTTGGGGAAAATGATGCTCCCTCGCCACGTTCCGGGCGTATTTCCGAGTGAATCAAAGTCTGAGATTAAAGAACACCCACCAGAAAGCGAAGGCACATTATTCATTTAGATAATTGTTGCCAATTCCCCTGGTCTCCGGTTTATTTTTTAAACTGACGTGTGCGGTAACGCAGTCATTACTAATACCACCCGCTTAAGGACATAGGTTTCCTACTAATGAGCACCCCAGCAGTAGGCAATGAAGTCTCACAACTACGTCATTTCCATAAATGATTTTCCGTCTTCAGTACTTTTGCGAGAGCCGGTGACATTTCCGTAGACCACATTTGCATGGTGTTTATTCCTCATTATTATTATTAACCATGTGAACAGACTTAGTATCAAGCAACGAAGTGTAACAGAAAGTCTTGGTGGCACTCAGGGTGCGTTTTGTTGCTCCTTATCCAAACATTAGACTTAATTAGACAGATAAATCAATTTATTTGTAATCGACACATCTGCTTTTTTTTTTTTTTTTAACCTCTGGAAGTAATTAATCACCATTTGTTTATTTTTTATTTAACTTAGGAACAGAAATAAGTATAAAGAAATGTGTTTAACAGCTGTTCCCTTCTCAAGTACACATGGTGATAATTTCCCAAAATATTTTCTGTGACAAACGACCTTCTCACCAATCTGATTTTATTTGTCTCCTTTATTTGTAAAGAATAGCACGCCACCTGTTTAATTTGTTTGCTTAAAGAGATGTTTTCCCCCTGCACTAAATACTCTTGGAAAGACATAGCTCATTTTAGACCATGATGTTGTGTATGTTAGCCCCTCTCTTTTCAGCTGAGCAAACACAGACAGGAGTTTTTAAAAATTCAGACGTCTCTCTTTAACTTTTCTAAACTTCAAAAAGGCAACTGAAGTACCTTCAGCATTCAAACTTTAAGATATGAGATAAAACTTTATATTACCTATCAGATAATATGTTTATATAGTGTCAGTCGTCTGATTTTGTACACTTGCAGCTTTGCAGGACAAATTACCCGCCTATGGAATCTTGAAGCCACTGTACAATAATGTGTGGCTACAGAAAGCGACGTTCTTTATTGACTATTAACTCTGATTTTCTGTTGTGGATCACAATTTCACTTGGAGCAGCCTGATCGATAGCAGAGCTAACTATTACTTTCGTTCACAAGTATCCTGCGTCTTGGGAATCGCCCTTAAAAGATACTGGGAGAGATGTAGAGTCTATTTCTCTTCAAACCCTTATAACACTGATTTCATTTTACAGTCCCACCGTTTGCACTAGTTGCTATACAGACCTCCAAGGTTGTGTTTACTCATAGATGCAACCATGTCTTTGCCAACCAGTAATTAAGGGAATTATTCGTAATTAGTCCTTATGGCCGGACACCAAGATGGGAAAAAGTGGAAGGCATTACGAAGCTTATCTACCAGAGTGATATGCTGCTGGAAAAAAAAAAAAAATACCCTCCCCCTCCATTCTAGTGCACAGGAATATTTTGTGTCTGCGCCAGGCAGAGCCAGAGGGCTGCTGCCGGACCATCCATCCCCAGCGTGCCCCTTCCCACGCTGCTCCCCCTGCACTGAGGGAGCGGATGCTGCTCCCGGCCGCCTGCGGCCGAGCGGGGCGCGGAGCGGCCGCTGCGCGACTCTTCTGCGCGGATGGGTGCGCTGGGGCAGATCATGCACCGCGCTCTGTATCGTCTGAGCAAAGCCTTCCCTTCAGCGGGGCGCGGCGCTTCTTCTGCCACTCCCGTGGGAGCCCACGGGCTCGCCCCTGCGCGTCCGCGCTGCCCACACCGCCCCGGCGCCGCCGCGCTCCGTGGCCGTGGGTGGAGGGCGGCTCCGCGGCCTTGCGCGGGACAAGTTTATTCCCCATGAGGCGCAAAAACTCCCTGCGTGGGTCGTCGCGGCGGAGTAAGGCAAGAGCGCGGAGATCCCCGAGGAGGAATCGGGTCAGTTGCGAGATAGGAAAGAAAAAACTAAAATCAAAGGACACCACGAAGAATAAAGGCGCGGCGGGGGGCAAGGAGCTTCGAGCTGTCCTTATTTTTCTTATTTAGTTTTTAACTTCCTTCCCCACCCAAGGAGCGGAGGGAAGCGGGAGCCACGCAGGTGGACCCTCTCTCTGCCGGGAGATGCGCTGGATTTCGCCAGAGCGGCGAGCGTCTCCCTGTCTGCCCGCCGAGCCCTTGGCAAGTTGCGCAGCAGCGGAGCGGGACAAGGGACGCACCCCCGGGGCAGCAGCGCGTCCCACCGATACGCACCGGCGGGGCGCCCGCGGCGCCGCTCCCAAACGTCAGCGGGGGCGGGCAGCCCCCGGTCCGGCCGTCCGACATCTCCCGGCCAGCCTCCGCGGCGCGGAACTCGGCGACGCGCCGCGGCTGTGGCCCGGCCGCGTCCCCGCGCTGAGCCCGGCACCGTCCCGCGGGCGCTGCGCCTTCCCTGCCCGACCCCAGCGTTCCCCGGCGCTCCCGAGAGCAGCACTGCGCGCCGGCGGGAGGTGGTGCGCACAGTGGCTGTACGCGTTTTCATGTCGCGTCGTGTTGACGCCCTCCCGCAGGTGCGGAGCTGTGTCTGTGCTACAGGCGGGACACAGCCGCGCTCCCCTCTCCGCGGAGCTGCCGGTCCGCTCGGCCCCGCGAACCTCCGTAGGTGCCGACAGCCACCGCCGTGCGGCAGGAGCCTGTGACACGCGTGTGCGGGGCACAGCCCGCCCGTCCCGTCCCGTCCCCGCGGGCTCGGCCCGAGCGCGGCGCGCGGAGCCCCGCGGGGCGGAGCGGGCCCGGGCGCGGCGGGCGGGCGCGTGACGTCACAGCGAGGCCCCGCCCCCGCGGCTCGGCTTCCGCCCGGTTGCCGCGGAGACGCGTCCGTCGCGCGGAAATCCCCGCGGGCGCGGAGCCCGCCCGGCGCCGCCATGAGCCAGCGGCAGGTCCTGCAAGGTAGGCTGGGCCGGGGGCCGGGGCAGCGGGGCTGGCGCCCGCCCGCCCGCCCGCTGACCCGGCGCTGCCGCCCGCAGCGTTCGAGCAGTACCAGCGCGCCCGGTCGCAGTTCGCGCAGGCGGTGGCCGACTTCGCCGCCCGCCCGCAGAGCATCGACGCTCTCCGCAGTGCAGGTACGCGGGGTTTTGCGCGCCCCGGGGCGGGGGCAGGGGCAGAGCGGAGCCACCGCGGCCTTTCCCAGGTTTTTGTTTTATCTCCCTCCTCCCCCGCTGGCCGCTCAGTTTGCGGAGGTTTTTTCCCAGTAGGGTTTGGCCCGCACTGCTTGCCGAGTCCCCCTTGTTGCGGAGGGAGAGTAAATTGCCCTGGTCAGCTCCTGTGCGGGGCTCGGTGTCTCTGGCTGGAACCTCCGGTTTATTTTAAGGAAAATTTCTCAGTATAATCATTTTTCAAATTTACTTCCTCCCGGTTCTGATACAGCTTAATGTAAATTACAGAGATTGGAATTCCCGATAAAGCCAGCTCTAATTTGCCAAGGAAATTTTACTTTTAGAATAAACAAATTTTTATACTGGCTTTACAAGTTCCTAAATTCTTCGATGCTTTCTGCCGGCAGATTGGCTCAGTTTAGGAGGGATTTGATTTTGTTATATTGCTGTCATGGGATGTCATGAACCAAACTGAACATTTTTAGAAAGAGGAGCTGCGGGAGCACTTCTACCAGCTGTTGTGCTGCTGGCATCTGGCAGATCCACTCCACTTGGCCAAAGTTCCTGAGCTTAAAAGAGGAAAAAGAAGTGTCTGGTAATTGATTACCTGAATGACAGTTTGAAAATGTGCTGTAGATCAGTGGTTGGTTTGCCATGTGGTATTCATGAATTGATTCTGTTTTGGTGTGTCTCGATTTTGTTTTAATACTTGTTTCCCAGATCTAATAAAGTTATCAGTCTTTTCTCAAGTACAATGACATCTAACAAACAAACAAAAGAGAAAACCAGTGATGTAAATATTTACAACTCTGTTATTGTGTTTACAACCGTTTATTAGAACTGTTTTATTAAAAATCTATCACTTAAATTCTCGCTAAGGAAACATTTCCTTTCATTATGGGAGTGGCATATTGATACCAGGCCTTTTGTATTACCTTGCTGTGGCTCTTGAATTTTTGTTTTGTTTTCCATCTTTTGGTGAGTTAATGACACACTGCTGTAGCTTATACAAGTGATTGCTGTTTGCTAAGAGGACATCGTGGCTATAGGAATGATTTATGCCTTATTTGTATGAAGAGGTCCCTCTGTGTCCTTTTACAGTCCTGATTTTAGCAGCTCCCAAAGAGAGATCCTATACAGGCAAGCTTCTTGCAGCTCAGCATTTTAAAAACGCAGATAGTTTCCATTTTAAGAAAACAATCAAAGTCCATTTTAAGAAAACAATCAAAGTGCCAAGCTAACTTTAATTGCATTGTATTTATTTTAAAAATAACTATTTAATGTAATCTGGCTGGTAACTTTACCTCAGAACTGATTTGTTGCTTGTGCAGAGGCCTGAAACTTTCTTCTGCGCACAGCTGGTGTTGGTCTGAAGGTTAAATTTGCAAGGATTAGGCTCTGGGTAGTAATGTGGAAATGTGCATTTGTGTAGATTATTCTACTTGGCTGTTTCTGGTCACGAGCTGCTTTTCAACAAGCTTTAGTTTTTCAGATACTGGACAGGAAGGGAATGTATGTAAATATGGCTGTTACAATTTATTTGGATGGCCCACAAATATCTTACCATCTTTCCCACCTGTGTCTTTAAAAATACTTTGTAGTTATGTAATTGCAATGAGAGCTGTTAATTTTGACCTTTTCTGGGTGTGCTAGATACAAATTTTAAAAACTCCTTGTAATTTATATGTGACTAAGTGTTTTTCTTTAAAACATCCCACCAAGTAAAATTGGTCTTTTTATTAAAACAAATATTTTGGGACATCGAGGTCTAGCAGATAACTGGTGTGCCTTTTAGGATCTTACTCTAGTGAGTGCTGGAGCAATGATTTAAATAAGATGCCTGTCTACACGTGTATCGCTGTATAAATCTGAACTTAAAAGGGATTTGGGCTTGTTTCTTATTCTGGTGAATAAGAATTCTAGCCATCCTTTATGGAGATGGCTGTTTTAAGAAGATGAGGAAAGTCTTTGCCCACTGTTACTTTACATTAGCTATAGGAGTCAGGGACACCTTGCAGGGTTCTTTGTTGGGTCTCAAAAGTTGTCAGGGTTAAGTATCTTTCTGGCAAAAGCAAGTGACTTGATTTTGAACAAAATTAAATCCTTAAAGTGTACAGTCACGTACTCTTGTATTAGTGGCCTCAGTTTATATTCCTGGAATAAGAATGAAAGATAAGCGCTCAAGGAATAAAGCACCTGATCCCATTTTAGAAATCCTTTTGATAAATACTTAACATGTTATAAGGAAAATAAATACTTGTTTCGAGACCTTGTTCTTTGTGGAGGTGTCTCTGGACACCATGCTAACATCATGAAAGAAGTGTTGAAAAAGTACTTATTTACTACCCTCTAAGCCCTGCTCCTGTGGTGTGAACTAGGTACAAGCAGTGGTATTGTTGCATATTTGGAGCCTGCAGCCTGGAGGGGAGCAAGCAGCCAGGGTCAGAGGCACCAGTTCCTTATGCTGGCTTGACTGTTGAGAAACCTTAAAGTAGCATTACTGTGGAGAGTCCTGTGTATGACCTGTAAGGAAAACTGGTGGGAAGCTGGAAAAAAGATCAGACAGGGCCAACAGGAAGCCCATCTTTTCTTAGAGCATCTGTCTTCTGAAGCTTCTGTATCTCATCACGTTCTGGAGCTGCTTTTCCCACTGGGCAGAAATCCCAAAGATGTTGTAGCCAAGGAACTGGAATCTGGCCCTGGGCTTCAACACATTTGCATGGCACTGGCTCTTTCCTGGTCAAGAGTGTCTGGGGGGACTAGTGCCTGGGAGCTTAACAGCTTTCTGGTGGCAAGAAAGTGTGGAAAGAATGATCAGAGAGATTCTTCTGTGTGTTTTCCAGCTCTCTGTTTTGTTTTGATAAAGTTGTTCCTTATGATTGAATACTACCATGAATAATTATAGGATTTGTTATTTGAATGTTTAGTTAGTTGATACCTGAGAAGAAAAGTCTGCTCCAAAACTCCTAAACCTTTTCCACTTAGTAAATATACACGTGAAACAAGGACAGACATTTTATCAAATCTTTTCTCTTGAGGGCTGCTGACTAATGGGACAAGCTACTTTGATAGTAATGACTTTAAATATAGCCTTTAAAAATAAATCTATTCGTTTGGCAGCCACTACTCCTGGAGTTTGGTACTGGAATGCATTATTCAGCTCTGCATTTCCTCATCCTTCCAAAATTTAAAATCCAAGAAACAGGCTTTTTTCAAGTAAAAAGGCAAAAGAAACTGAACCCCTGGTCCTGCAACGAAAATTAAGCAACCGCCTGGCCTTTAGAAGAGCTGGGTGAAAAGCTGAAGTGCTTCTAGTATGTGTGTGACAGTGGTAGTCACTGAGGGTCTAATTCATAGGTTTTTTTCCTTGTGAAGCACAGCATGCTGTAAATAAACAACCCCTTTGAAATTGCATTTTGTTTTGATTCTTTTGAAGGCATTTACAATTCAGGATTAATACATGTATCAGAATAATTACTGTATTTGTTTTTGATTATTTGATTTTTTAAAAATTAATTTATCTTGCGTTAGAACAGATGGTGATGAGAATGTTGCTTTTAATATGTGAGTTATTTAAGGCTATCATTGTGATTAAGAAACAGTTTAGTCTTGCTACTTTAACTCTAAAGTTAAAGCTCTTTAACCTCTTTCTTGGGGCTAATTACATTCTTAAGTGTAATGACTGCAGAAGTCATGGGGAAAGCGGGGTATGGAACATGGGAAAACAGCTGTGTGTGGTGCAGCAGCCTCTGTGCTGGGGCCCTGCACACCTGGCTTCCCTTCACATTGCTGCTGGGGTATTTTTATCATCTCAGGCAGATAACTTCAACTGCTGTTCCTCTGCCTTGCTGGACAGTCTGCAGGGTTCCAGGAAAGTTCCAAAATGTCACTGTAAATGAAGATCTTCTCTCAGTGCATCTCTTCCTACCGTCCATCCATCAGCCCACAGCCCTGAGCCCAGGTCTCCCTTCCATTATGCTTGGTATCAAGCTGCTTCAAGGCTAAAGCCTGGAGGCAGGACTTCTGAATCAGACTGGGGCTCCACCAGCAGCCCCTGTGGCATGGCAGACATTCCCCTATTTCGTGGTCTGTTTTTCTGCAGGTAAAGGGTGGTGTCATCAGTGTTAGTGCTTTCCTGGCTCCAGATCTATTCCACTGGTGATAAGTTGTAAAAGCTGTATTTCCAAATCTCTAGATTGGTTTTAGGAGCCTTTATTTTTAAGAAAATGCTGTTCAAATTGATTTCCCTCCTCCAATTACATGGAATATTTTTGCCCATGCTTTTCTCAATTTTTCATTCTGATGTATGTATTTTAAATGTACTGTTTTTCAATGTGACAGTTGGACACTTGGCCCTATGTAATCAGAACCAGACCCTAGGATGGAATTTTAGGATATAGTTCCATATTTTATATAATAATAAAGAATATTATTTGATAGCACTGTGCTTAATAGAAAGTCTGCGAGCATTTGCATCTTGCAAGTGGATATGCATGGACAGACCCCAGTGCCCTCAAGTAGCCAGTTTCAACACTGGAGTTTATGTATTCTCTTTTGTAAGGGATTCACACAACTTTGGGGTTTTTTTGGTTGTGGTTGTTTTTTTTTTTTTTTTTTTTTTTTTTGTTTTGTTTTGTTTTGTTTGTTTGTTTGTTGGTTTGGTTTTATGGTTTCTAAAATACTTTTATTTTGAGTTAAAAGCTTTACTGAGCTTTAGCAGCAGGAGAAGTGGGAGAGGAGTAATGCAATGTGGCATAAAAGACAAAAGGTTGTCTTTGCAGTTGTAGTAGAGCAGGTGTGGAGAGTGGCTTTCCCAAAGGCTTTATGAAATTGTGGTGCCAGGTGAAGGGAAGAAGGAGACTGCTTTAAGGAAAGTACAAGAGAGGTGACATAGAAGGAGAAAATAAATGCAGCTGAAGCTGGAGGTTTTTTCTGTAACTCAATCAAGTGAAAGCTCAACTGTTCCT